TAGTAAAATCATGACTTTTTATATCACAGAAGTTATCCAATTATTTTCGTCGATCATCAGGTGAAGCGATACTTTTTCAAGGGACTGTATGAATTGATCAACAAGGGGGTTCCAATTTTTCTAGATTCGATTTCCAAATTTGGTAAAATACTTGACTGTATTATTATTATATAGCATAGTGGACATTTGATTTCATTGGCTGTTGATCATCACAAATTTATCACATAAAATCAAATTTTATTGGTCAATTTGTATATATAACAAAATCATAACGTTTATAAATAAATATTATAAATATTAATATATTATTTTTTTCATCTGAATGTCATTAATGCATGACTAGGTTTTTTATTATACAGCCTAATGTTTTATTTACTCTTCTTTGACTTCATAAATCGTTGATTTATATTCATTACTATATCATCTATTATATAATATATATCTGTCATTTTCCTATTTAAATGAATTGGACGTGAATATAAACATAAATGTAAATATAAATAACCTATGAATAAATTTTAAACATGTTTACATTACTTTATTATCTCCCCATAAAATCATGATGTCGATTCAAGTAATTGTTATCGTTTAAAAAACTCTTTTCATTTTTTTATATTAAACAATCTTTAATTTTTTCTCTTCTTTTAAATATTATCTCATTGTGAAAAAATATGATACAACCTACTCATCCCGTGTTAAAAAAATTTGAATATAAGTAAATCAAATAAATATATAAAAATAAATATTTCTTTTCTTAAAGTATAATGAGAATATAAAATAAGTCTTTACCTGCAGTATAATAATGATTTATTAAAAATAAAATAAATAATAATAATAATAAAGGTTGCAATTCTGACATAAATAGATCACAGAATCCTTAAACTTTCGTTTCTAATATAACATACTGAAATCAATTTGATTGATTTGATCGTTTTTTAGTCAACGATCGATTTTGTCACAAAGTGATAAAACGAATGTCCATTATGCTATTATTATTGGCACTTGGTGTTGTACAAAGATCTTTTTTGACACGATTGTTTTTTTTTATTTAGAAAAACGTTGTTGTTTGGCATGGTTATCCTAAAGAAGAAGTGTTAATAATTAACCAGAGGTACTTTTTTTACTTTGCATTGATATAATATGGTGTCTTTATTTACAAATATTATAATTGGAATCAAAACGCAGAGCAGAACTTGCTGGGTAATTTATAAGATTCTCATCATAGTAAACGAATGATTGGTATTTCTCTTTTGCTTTTTGTAATCGTTATTAATATTATAATTAATTACAAGTTGTCAAGGCAGCATACCGTTGAAAAAGAAACATTTCAATATGTGATGTCTGATTATCGGAAATTTTACAGATGTTGAAGCACGCACACCTCCTTGAACACTTACAGTCATTCACACGTTCCTCGTGTACATAAGGCTAATCTGACTCGTGCCTGATGATACAATGATGCAACCGAATTCTGGGGAGGGGGCAAGATGCCCTGGAGTTTATCAAGATTGCATCAATTGTCAAGGACATTTTTACTAATCTTTTCTCACAGCACCCAGACCAGAGAAGGCTGCTGACATGTTGGCCGAAAAGTTGCCTGCAACAATCTTACCTCTATGGTAAGGATGGCTCTGCAACCAAGTCGCATTTTGAAGAGTTGTAATATTAAGTGTGCATAAACATCCAGATCCATCAAAGCAACAAGAATCTGCAACTTGTTTCAAGCGCAGGGAGGAAATTTGCAATTCAGAATGGGATTGGTGGCCCTGAAATTGCATTTGGGCTCTGCTGTTAGGAGGAAAGCTGTAAAATAAAATGGTTCAGATTTTGTTTGGTATGTTATATATAAATTAATATTTTCCCAAATGTTCTGTTTCTTTAATCTTTATTTGACCAACTGAATTTGTTATTTAAATGGGGTAAGGTTGTTGGTGAGTAGATGTGCTACCAACAAGACAGCAACCCAGGACTCAAAGCTCTGAATTCAGGGAAAATCCAAAACAACCCAGGTTGTAACCTCCTGAGTTGGAGAATTTTCAATCAGTTGCAGACACAAACTTTATTCTAGAGAGTGGTGATAACATAAAGCAATCATCACACAAGCACTGATCCTCATCAGTGATCCTGGTCTGAGAGGAAGATAAGGAAATTTTTGTCCGAAGCCTTCCAATGTGTCTTCACCTTACCTGTGGAGAAAAATTCCATGGTTATGAGGCGTGTGAAAGCACCTGTTGACATGTTTGTGATAGGAATTTTTAATTAAATCTGACACCTGTGATCAATATCAGATTTATTATTCATAAGGAAACATAATTGATAATTAGGAAAAATAATTTATTATTGTGAACCCCAGAGATCTGTGTAGACATGCATTATTAAAAGTTTCATTCATGCATGGTCTTGGTATTATTATTACTTGGTGATGCAATTGTTTGTTATGTCAATGACAACATCAAATGTATTTAATGAACACTGTGATAGATGTGTAGATGAAAGGATTCACAGATGGGGAAAGTATTAAATAGCAATATTGTGTTTGTTATTTTGTTTTTATTTTAATCAAGATATATAATTAATTATATTTAAAAAGTAATTATTTTATTCCACTCTTGCAATCAAAGGTATTATTCTGAAATCTTTTGTTTATTTAGCATAAATGATTGAATCAATCACACAGGTGGTAGTCAATTTAAATGGCATTCATTTTTTAAATGAAATGATATTATTTTAAATGTGTAAAATTTTTTAAAAGATGTTTTTATAATAATGATTTTTAATATTGTAAAATTTTTTTTGATAAATGTAAATCTTTATTAATATTAATAAAAAATCAGGAAACATGAAATTTTTGCACATAATTATTTTTCATGGGACCAGTTGACCAAATTTTTCAATTTCTCTTCATAGGTTATTGAACAACCACATTTTTTAAATCATTTACTTAAACCTATTCCATTTATATACTTCAATTTTAAAACAATTATAAAAAAACTTACAAAGTGAACATAAGATTATATATATAGGGATAGGTGTATATGAAAAGTAATAATAAATACAATGGTTCTAATGAATATCAAAAGGCCATTGATTTTTTAGAAAAAGGTTGTGATTGTGGTTGTTCTTCAAGAATTCCCAAAGAAGAATTTGCAGAATTAAGGGAATCCTTTCAAGCTCTTTCTAAATCAGAACAAGACATATTTTTAATGGCCCAACTTAAGGCAATGGATGGTGGATTAACAAGCACTAGCAGACGCCTTAAAAAGAAAACCAGATCTAATAAAAGAACTTTCTATCACTGAGATCACAATACACCTCTTTGTCAAGAAACTTACCTCAATATGTTAGGAATCAGTAGGACTTATTTTGAAAATATCAGAAGTCATCTGATAAATAATGGTCTTTTACCAAGAGTTCATGGTAATATTAAAAGAATGCCTCAATGGAAAACTAAAATGGTGATTGATAAAAATGTTTCAGGAATAGTAAAGAATTTTCTGGAAAATCATGCAGAAGTTCAAGGATTACCAAGTCCAGGAAGAAGTATCAATAGAATAACCCAATCAATTGTATTCTTACCAGCTGAAATGAGTTACAA